CTGTGTGTGTGTAGTGTTGTGTCGTGTCTGTGTGTGTTGTCTGTGTGTGTGTAGTGTTGTGTCTTGTGTTGTGTCTGTGTGTAGTGTTGTGTCTGTGTTGTGTCTGTGTGTATGTTGTCTGTGTGTAGTGTTGTGTCTGTGTTGTGTCTGTGTGTGTGTAGTGTTGTGTCTGTGTTGTGTCTGTGTGTGTTGTCTGTGTGTAGTGTTGTGTTTGTGTGTGTGTGTAGTGTTGTGTAGTGTTGTGTGTCGTGTCTGTGTGTTGTCTGTGTGTGTGTAGTGTTGTGTTTGTGTGTTGTGTGTGTGTGTAGTGTTGTGTCTGTGTGTAGTGTTGTGTGTCGTGTCTGTGTGTTGTCTGTGTGTGTAGTGTTGTGTCTGTGTGTTGTGTCTGTGTTGTGTCTGTGTAGTCTGTGTGTTGTGTCTGTGTGTTGTGTCTGTGTGTTGTGTCTGTGTGTTGTGTCTGTGTGTGTGTTGTGTCTGTGTGTTGTGTCTGTGTGTTGTGTCTGTGTGTGTAGTGTTGTGTGTTGTGTCTGTGTGTTGTGTCTGTGTGTGTTGTGTCTGTGTGTGTAGTGGTTGTGTCTGTGTGTTGTGTATGTGTGTTGTGTCTGTGTGTGTAGTGTTGTGTCTGTGTGTTGTGTGTGTAGTGTTGTGTGTCGTGTTGTGTGTTGTGTCTTTGTGTGTTGTGTCTGTGTGTCGTGTCTGTGTGTGTAGTGTTGTGTCTGTGTGTTGTGTGTAGTGTTGTGTGTAGTGTTGTGTCTGTGTGTTGTGTGTAGTGTTGTGTGTAGTGTTGTGTCTGTGTGTTGTGTGTGTGTAGTGTGTTGTGTGTAGTGTTGTGTGTTGTGTCTGTGTGTGTGGTGTTGTCTGTGCTTGTCTGTGTTGTCTGTGTGTGTAGGTTGTGTCTGTGTGTTGTGTCTTGTTGTCTGTGTGTGTAGTGTTGTGTCTGTGTTGTGTGTAGTGTTGTGTGTAGTGTTGTGTGTTGTGTCTGTGTGTGTAGTGTTGTGTCTGTGTTGTGTCTGTGTTGTCTTGTGTGTGTAGTGTTGTGTCTGTGTGTTGTGTCTGTGTGTTGTCTGTGTGTGTAGTGTTGTGTCTGTGTGTTGTGTCTGTGTGTTGTGTCTGTGTGTAGTGTTGTGTGTCGTGTCTGTGTGTTGTCTGTTCATAAAGCTCCAGGGCTACTCAGCACCTCGTCTCCAGTATACCAAACACTCGGTGATGGTGGTTTAAACATTTTCTAGGGCCTCGCCAGATCGCCATCGTAGGCAGTTCTAACGTCTGGCGTAGCGTCCATAAACATACTGCGGGATGGGGGTGTCAGGCGTTGATCATTGTTCGTTATGCTAAAGAGTCGTTTAGTTGGTGTCGTTCAGAGTGAATCAATCGAATGATTCGCGAGTTAATGTCGTGTTTATTTTCTCAATGTTTGTATTGTTTACATGTAGTATCTCTGTTTATCCTTCATGTTGACATATATAATACCACACTGCATAAGGTAGTTCAGTTAGCCAAGTACTTTTTATATATAAACTTACTATGCCATCCATATGTTATTATTATTTTCTTACATATAAATTTAGGCCCAACATTGAATAGCTTCTAATTCTTTCAGCATCGAAGGGCGGCAGTAATAACGTGTCAGTGTGAATGTTATGTAAGTCTCTTTCATTTTAACTTTTATTATTTTATTCTTTTTTTATTATTATTATTATCATTATTACTATTATTATTTATTATTATCATTATTATTATTATTATTATTATCATCATTATTATACCTTTTACCGAATCTTCCTCTTTTTTTGGTGCTTGCTTTTTTTTAATTTTTCCTCTTCCTCCGTCTCATGTTATGTTGGGTTGTGTCCTGACCTGACCTCTGACGTCATCTCCCTCACCTTACCTCACCTCACTTTTTTTTAGCTCCTTGTTTACTCTGGCATCTCCCGTCTGACCTTGTGGTTAATTTGTTTTGCAGTATGGACCGTTTTAGACTTACATTCTATATATATATATATATATATATATATATATATATATATATATATATATATATATATACAGTCCGAATCTTATAGTCTGCATGTATTTAACTAAACTTATATATATATATATATATATATATATATATATATATATATATATATATATATATATATATATATATATATATATATATATATGGGGGTGTTGAGGGGAGACAGAGGCAGAGCGTGCCTAACACAGGGACACTCACGCCCTTCTGGCTCAATATTCTCATAGTTTATAGTACAAATTCTTGCCACTAACTGAACATAACAAAAGAACGCATCTCGATGATAGAGAGTGGTAGTAACTCTCGACAGGAGCTGCCATGCACAGGCCAACCGGCCTATTGCAGACTCCTTATTTTCTTCTTATGTTCTTATAGCCTGGACGCCACTTTCGGTTTTTGTGGTGTGGTAGCTTAATGAGGCAGGTAGATGCGTTCTTGTGTACTGTTCTGTACAGTTAGTGGAGTCTCGCACTACGAGGAGGTGTCCGTCACGCTCTCCCTCACTGTCTCCCACACGCTCGTGTTATCAGTGTTATCCTGTGCTGTGAGCTCACCATACTCCAGTCAGCAAGGTGTAGCAAACATCATCCTTGATACTGAATAAACTGTGCTGTGTCCTCAGCTCACAACACAGACCTTTGACAAAATAAAAATATTCAGAGTACGGAGGGGTGTTGTGGACTGCCCGGTGACCAACTATTATGTTGTGTCGTGACCTCAAACCACTGTAGGGCTGATAACACAGGCACTAACATAGACTGCCACGAGATATGAATATTTGTTTTCAATAATCCCTATAACAACCTCCACTCACGATACTTAGATCTTTTACTTCCATAGTTCTATGTGACAACTACTACGGCATCCGAATCTTCATCATATATATATATATATATATATATATATATATATATATATATATATATATATATATATATATATATATATATATATATATATATATATATATATATATATATACCCTTTTATTTTTAACAACCAACACGGTATTTGAATCTCTTCATTTTTATAGTTTTATAATAACAATTGCCACGATATTTTGTATCTTCTTTTATATATAATTAATGCATAAACTGCAACAGTAACTCTTATATTCTCTCTTATATATAACCTCTTGTACCAGCTGCTATGATAAATAATCCATGCCCCAGTGATATGGGCACATGACTCCCACGCATGCCCACCACCCGAGACACCTCCACATATATCATACTATTCCTTATTTCAGAAACTAGCAGTACAGTCAGAGATACAGACACAATACTCAAACACTTAGGAGCAATAAACCAGGTAGTGGCACAGGTGTAGCTAAGGATTTAAAAGTAATTGCGGTACACAAGCACTCACCAGCCACAGTACAGGCACAGGTGTAGCTAAGGATTTAAAAGTAATTGCGGTACACAAGCACTCACCAGCCACAGTACAGGTAACACTATTAAATCGTGTGATTCCGTATACATATAAAATTAAAGTTACATATTTATTTCACTTGGGTTCGAAATTACCCACCGGTCAGCCTCTGGTGTGATGAGCCTTCACGAGTTGACTGTAGCATTAGATATATACTCATACTGGTCTCAACTCCCAGGGTGTGGATTCTAAAAAAAAATATTTTTTTTATAATATTTCCTCGTGACCTGGATATACAATAAGCTCACCTGGGCGAGGTAGCGACGAAGGCTTGTAAATTTTGAGGCCACGCCACTCCGGCCGCCAGCACTGAGGTACAGTACTCTGAAATATATTGTGAGCCAGATGGATGTGTTCTCTCGTATTCAGTTTAGACGAAAGCATTTCACGCAAACCTTTGAGAATCTTGCCAGAGGGAGAGTTGGGAGTCGTACCCCTGCAGTCTTGAGGAGTCCTACTTTATGTTATCCTTTTAGACACAACATCAAAGTTACTGTCTCACTTAAACTACAGCACAAGTTTGGTGGTCAAGACTGAGACTATACCGTAACGACACAAGTACAGAACGTGTTTTGATATGTCAAATTAACTATAAGAACCTTTATGGGTGTGGTCGCTTGACTACTACTAAATCAAAACTTCTAAATAAAAAAATCTTATTGAGGGTCTATCAACGTTACGATGGTCATGGGTTAAGCTTGCCTAGGCTGGGTTATTGCACCAGACAAAATTAGACTGGGACGAGAAGAGTGTAATAAAGTTGGCTTTAAGTATTTCGCCTACTGGTTCATTCTTCTTAGTGAGCGTCTGTGTGTGTGTGTGTTTATGTACTGGTGAGATAGTTGTGAGGGAGGTGTACTGTGTGTCTGTGTGTATAGCTGCTCGAACCTGGGTGTACAGAACCTTGCAGAGCTTCAATTAGAGGTGTACACGGTGAGTACAATTGCTCTTACCTGGCATGTACAGTGCAGAGGAGTACCGTAAACCCTAAATTAGTGTACAAGACCTCACTTCCAGGTACGGTACCAGACACTATCGTTTAGCTTACAATCCTAAATGCTTACATGAAAATAATTACTCATGGAGAAACACTGACACACACACACACACACACACACACACACACACACACACACACACTGAACGTAAATATACAGTGTACCAAAAAACACCTGACATTGTGTTAGAAGTCTGCGGAAACTTTATATCAGAATTCATTTATTTTTTGATGCTTTCATACTTGTTATTTTACTTAACGTAGAACTATCTTAATTCAGTTTAACCTTGTGTGAAATAACTTAAAGGTCAATGAAAGAATTTATTCAAGCAAAATAATCTTATAATTAATTAAAACAAAGGATATATTGAGGGTTTTTGAAGCAGTAGTTCAAAATTTGCTAAAATTCACTCAAACACTAAGTTGAACTTGGCTCACATATAAATAATGAGAGTAGGTAGTTGGTAGAGAGAAGGGAGCAACAGCTGGCCTCAATGTGTCTAGGTTTATGTTTCTTCACACCGACTCATGTTTGTTTTTCTTTGTCCACAGCCAATCAGAAGCCGCTGACATTCGACGACGTGTACAACCAGTCGTCACCCACCAACTGCACCGTGTACTGCGGGGGTATCACCAACGGTCTGTCAGAGGAGCTCATGCAGAAAACCTTCGCGCCTTATGGACAGATACACGAGATCCGGGTCTTCAAGGACAAAGGCTACGCCTTCGTCAGGTGGGTGTGGCGTTTCAGCTTTTGGCCATCTTACCTCCTCCGCAGGACTCTACGACACCAACCAATCATATCATAGACCCCTGGATTACGTCACGGGGTGTAGTCTGTTGTATCCTGTGATTACATCCCGAGTTTTTAAAAGTGTGATAATTCGGTGTTATGGCGGATAATTGTGGCCGGGATGATTACTTGGCCGCCAGATCCGGGTTTTTTTTGTCATAAAGAATGCAGTTCCCCGAGGCAGTGTTTCTGTACAGGTTAGATACAGCGTCATAAGATGAGCGTGGGGGTGATGGTGGTGGTGGTAGGGGGTGGTGACTGATAGGAGGTGGTGATAAGAGGTGGAAGTGGTGGTGATTCTGGTGGTGATGGTGCTGGGAGATGCTGATGATGGTAGTAGTAGGTGGTGGTGGAGGGCCGCGCCAGGAATCTGAGAAGCTCTTATGTTTAATTCCCTACTCTTAGCTCCGTCCTTCGTGATGTGAGAAGCAACTAACTGCCTTACATAACCCACCACTCAAAGATGGCCAAATGGCGTCGAAATTGCGTTAAGACTGTCGTAACTAGATGCGTGCTCTCATCTCCAGCTAAGGGGAAAAATTTAATGTTGTAAGTTTTTTGGGGGAAGTAAGGCGGTTGAGGCTACAATACGGCTCTACGCCCCAGTATTTCGTTGAGTTTTCCCCAAGTGTGTGTGTGTGTGTGTGGGGGGTTCATGTGTGGATGAGTCATACACGTATAGTCTCGTTCAAGATTCTTCGAACACTGCAAGACGGCTGACAACTCAAGGCCGTTTGTTTACTGTAGTACGTAGTATAATATAATACGGAACAACAAAGCCCAACCATTAATTAAGCAACAGGGAACTAAGTAACCAATCACCGATCACTTTTACATTTATTCGTAATTTTTATTACGTACTATAGTAAACAAACGGCCTTGAGTTGCCAGCTGTCTCCAGCAGTGTTCGAAGAATCTTGAACGAGATTGTACATAAACGTACACGCCGTCATATACCAATAAAATTTACACACACACACACACACACACACACACACACTAGCAGTAATAAATGAGATCTTTCAAAACACACACACATACACAAAGGACTCGAAAATGTATTTTGAGATAACTGCTCATTTCAGACAGCCTTAATTACAGCCATTGGCGTGTGGGAGGAGTATGGAGAGCTTGGCGGACGTGACCTGACTCAACACACACACACACGGACGCACAAGTCGTGGTTATCGACAACAATGTACCGTTGAGTAGTTTCTATATATAACTTTTATTTTAATTTGTTAATTACTGGTTTATATTCCATTCCAGAATACGTGCTTAAAGGTCTTAGTTGTGAAGTGCACAATATAACATCAAGTGATTCAAGTTTGATTTAGTGGGGTGGATGGAGTTGAGGTCACCATGAAAATAAAGCCTCTTAAGCCTCCAGGTATATAGAACAAAGGTCAAGGACAAAGTTGGGCCTTTAAAGACAGGCAGGGGGGAAGTGATAAATGGCAGTGAAGAAATAAGCAAAGCATTGAACAGCTACTTCTTATCAGTTTTCACAGAAGAAATTCACGAGGAAATTCCAGAGGTGGAACCGATATTTTGGGGAAAGGAAGAAGAGAAATTAAAGAATGTCACTATCAGAAAAGAGGATGTTCTTAAGAGGATAAATAAATTAAAGAAGACAAAATCCCCAGGGCCAGATGAAATTTTCCCTAAAGTTTTGAGAGTGTAGGAAACAGATTAGCGGACCCCTCGTAAATTTATTTACAAAATCACTAGACACGGGAGTTGTGCCAGACTTGTTGAAACCGGTAAATGTAGTGCCCATATTCAAAAAGGGAGACAGTGCATCAGCGTCAAATTACCAGTCGATCAGTTTGACGTCAGTAGTGGGGAAATTTCTTGAATCAATTATAGCAGATAGCATCCGATCGCATTTAGAGAAAAGCAAATTAATCTACGACTCTCAACATGGGTTTACAAAGGGAAAATCTTGTCTAACAAATCTGCTGACGTTTTTTAGGAAAGTCTTCGAGGTATTTGATAATGACGAAAATTACGATGTTATTTACTTAGACTTTAGCAAAGCATTTGACAGAGTACCGCATCAGAGGCTTCTGAGAAAAGTTAAGGCTCATGGTATCGAGGGGAAAGTTTTAAATTGGATAAAATCATGGCTCACCGATAGAACGCAGAGGGTCAGTGTAGATGGTGTTAAATCTGAGTGGGGCCGTGTAACCAGTGGGGTTCCCCAGGGGTCAGTACTAGGCCCACTCTTGTTCATAATCTACATAAACGGTCTAGATACTGGGATCAGCAGTGACATAAGCAAGCTCGAAGATGACACCAAAATAGGGCGGCAGATTAATTCAGGGCAGGATGCAAATGCATTACAGGAGGATCTAAATAAACTGCAGGGGTGGTCTGAAAAATGGCAAATGAAATTCAACACCAGCAAGTGCAGCGTACTTAATATTGGAAGAACAAATACTGTCAATGTATACACCCTTAACAACATCAACCTAGAGAAGTCGACTTGTGAAAGAGACCTAGGGGTACTTGTAAGCCCGGACCTACGGCCTAGAAAACAGTGCGTTAATGTTCGAAGTAAGGCAAACAGAGTATTGGGTTTTATATCTAGAAGTGTAAGCAATAAGAGTGCAGAGGTCTTATTGCAACTATATCTTGCGCTAGTCAGGCCGCACCTCGATTATGCGGTTCAGTCCTGGTGCCCTTATTATAGAATGGATATCAATTCACTAGAGTCGGTGCAGCGAAGAATGACGAAAATAATTCCGGGACTTAGAAACCTTCCATATCAGGATAGGTTAAAGAAACTAAATTTGCATTCCCTAGAAAGACGAAGAGTGCGGGGAGGTATGATAGAAGTATTTAAGTGGGTGAAAGGAATCAACAAAGGGGATATAGATAAAGTGCTTATAATATCCGAGCAGGATAGGACTCGGAGCAACGGATTTAAGTTGGATAAGTTTAGGTTTAGGAGGGAGATAGGAAGGAACTGGTTCACAAATAGGGTGGTGGACGAGTGGAACAAGCTTAGCAACTTTGTAGTAAGTGCTGGAACGCTGGAAAGTTTCAAAAGGAGGCTGGATAGATTCATGGATGATAGAGAGTGGTAGTAACTCTCGACAGGAGCTGCCATGTTGCACAGGCCAACCGACCTATTGCAGACTCCTTATGTTCTTTTGATTGTTTTGATTCTTTACATTTTGTTTTAAGTTTGTCTTGAGTAAAGTTTACTTCATATTTAGTCTTAGTTTATTGTAATTTAGTTAGATTCAGCCGTGCATCATTTTACCACTGTTTGGTTTAGGATTAATTAAGTGCAACATAACGGACTTTCTTCTGGCACGAGGCTTGGTTAAACACTGAGATGAAGTAATGTAGGAATGTTGTTACGGTAAGTTAGGTTGTGTAGCGACTTGATCCTTCCTACTGAAACTTCTCTGAATTCCTCACCACTTGCTGCAGTGTGTAAATATATGGGTGAGTGGCGCACCTGTTTCAGTGATTTTAAGCTGAATTAGAACTTCGTACTCGTTTTTAGCTGGGATAAACAGCTCTCTGACCAGCAGTCTTGATTGACTGAAGTTCAGAACATATCTTTGTGAGGAAATTATCCCGGTCGTCGAGGCGCTCGCTAACACAGGAACCGACCACCTGAGCGTGTTTACTTTTATTTCCCCCGACGTCCGTGTAGAATGACCTGTCTGTATAACCAACTCCTCTGTTTAAACTGAATTTACTTTCAATTGTGCACCAACAACAAGTGTCATGTACATGTGGCCTTTTGAAGTTGTCTAGTGATTTTCTAGAGAACATACTGGATCAAGTTCTATATTTTCCTCCCTTCCGCCTCCCCCGTTCACGACTCGGCTTTACGGTAGTATAAAGCGACCGGTATAATGTGAGTGTAATGTCTAATTTGTAATTCGACTGCCAGTTTCTGTAGAATTTCACACCAGTCTTGACAAGCGTTCAACTGTGTGTGGCGGAGAGGGAAGAGGTATTACACGTGACCAGTCACCAGGTGGCTTTGCTTCCAGTAATATTTGGTAGGAGTTATTGCCTGCGTTATTTATCTATTTTTTATCAATAAATGTACGTATGAAATGTTTAGTAAGACAGAGAGAGAGAGGGTGGAGAGACGACTCGTTATTATAAGGTTACCAGAACGTGATGCAGTCAGAGGATACACACTAAGTTTACTGCGTTATTAACTTTGTGTTTTCTCATGTTTACGGAAACAAGTACAATATGGGGGAAATAACAATGTTTATTACGTATATATGCTCATGATTTTTAGTTGATTTTTATAATGAGGACTTTACATCAAGCCTCTCGCTAGTAAAGTGTAGTGAGTCTTCAAGCTTAATGTGTTATGGGTGAGTGTGGGGCAGGCTCACCCCACATTAAGCTGTACAGTAGTGGCTTACATTTTGCTGGAACCAATTTTACGGTACGATACACGAGGTTTGTTTTGGTTGACGGTGGGTCCCGTAGGCCTGACTGTCCGTTTGGGGCAGTTTAGGCATCACACAACACTACTTATCTGGTACACAAGGTGGTGGTGGTGCTAAGTCAAAGGGCAGCTCCGAGGTTGACACTTAACATGTGTGTGTGTGTGTGTGTGTGTGTGTGTGTGTGTGTGTGTGTTAACCCTTTAGCTGACGTACATATTGATGTGTTCTAGTGACCTGCTCTTTGGTACCTGAGTACGGTTGACGTTCTACAGTCCTTGACTTCCTGTGACCTCTGGTAATACAGCCTCTGACCTACTCGTGTGACCTCTGGTAATACGGCCTTTAACCTCATGTGACCTCTGAAAATACATCCCTTAACCTCATGTGACCTCTGATAATACAACCCCTGACCTCATGTGACCTGATAATACATCCCTTAACCTCCTCATGTAACCTCTGATAATACATCTCTTAACCTCCTCATGTAACCTCTGATAATACACCCCTTGATTCATGTGACCTCTGATAATAGACCCCTTGACCTCATATGACCTCTGATAATACAGCCCCTTACCTCATGTTAACTCTGATAATACACCCCCTTACCTCATGTGACCTCTAATAATATCACCCTTGACCTCATGTGACTTTTAATAATATCACCCTTAACCTCAAGTGACCTCTAACAATATCACCCTTGACCTCATGTGACCTCTAACAATATCACCCTTGACATCATAACCCCCCATCCATAATACCAGGTGTACTAAGAGTGTGCACCCCCTACAGGTTCTCGACCAAGGAGTCAGCTACCCACGCCATCGTCTCCGTGCACAACTCTGAGATTAATGGCCAGCCCGTCAAGTGCTCCTGGGGCAAGGAATCTGGTGACCCAAACAACACCCCAGTCACCACGCAGGTCATGGTAGGTCATGTTGTCTCTTTCTCTATATATCTCTATTATCTCCTATTAGTAGGTCATGTTGTCTGTGTCTGTTATCTCTGATTAGTAGGTCATGGGAGGTCATGTTGTCTTACCTCTTATTAGTAGGTCTCTTATTAGTTTGTCATGGTAGGTCATGGTGTCTGTTATCTCTTATTAGTAGGTCAAAAGGTCTGTTAAAAACTTATTAGTAGGTCAAAAGGTCTGTTAACAACTTATTAGTAGGTCATGGCAGGTCATGTTGTCTGTTATCTCTTATTAGTAGGTCATGGTAGGTCATGTTGTCTGTTAGCTGTTATTAGTAGGTCATGGCAGGTCATGTTGTCTGTTATCTCTTATTAGTAGGTCATGGTAGGTCATGTTGTCTGTTAGCTCTTATTAGTAGGTCATGGTGGGTCATGTTGTCTGTTATCTCTTATTAGTAGGTCATGGTGGGTCATGTTGTCTGTTAGCTCTTATTAGTAGGTCATGGCAGGTCATGTTGTCTGTTAGCTCTTATTAGTAGGTCATGCTGTCTCGTTATCTCTTATTAGTAGGTCGTGTGTCTGTTAGCTCTTATTAGTAGGTCATGGCAGGTCATGTTGTCTGTTAGCTCTTATTAGTAGGTCATGTTGTCTGTTATCTCTTATTAGTAGGTCATGTTGTCTGTTATCTCTTATTAGTAGGTCATGGCAGGTCATGTTGTCTGTTCGCTCTTATTACTAGGTCATGGCAGGTCATGTTGTCTGTTAGCTCTTATTAGTAGGTCGTGTTGTCTTTTATTTCTTAATAGTAGGTCATGGCAGGTCATGTTGTCTGTTAGCTCTTATTAGTAGGTCATGTTGTCTGTTATCTCTCATTAGTAGGTCATGTTGTCGGTTATCTCTTATTAGTAGGTCATGGCAGGTCATGATGTCTGTTATCTCTTAGTAGTAGGTCATGGCAAGTCATGTTGTCTGTTAGCTCTTATTAGTAAGTCATGGCAGGTCATGTTGTCTGTTAGCTCTTATTAGTAGGTCGTGTTGTCTGTTATTTCTTAATAGTAGGTCATGGCAGGTCATGTTGTCTGTTAGCTCTTATTAGTAGGTCATGTTGTCTATTATCTCTCATTAGTAGGTCATGTTGTCTGTTATCTCTTATTAGTAGGTCATGGCAGGTCATGTTGTCTGTTATCTCTTAATAGTAGGTCATGGCAGGTCATGTTGTTTGTTATCTCTTATTAGTAGGTCATGGCAGGTCATGTTGTCTGTTATCTCTTATTAGTAGGTCATGTTGTCTGTTATCTCTCTCATTAGTAGGTCATGTTGTCTGTTATCTCATTAGTAGGTCTGGCAGGTCATGTTGTCTGTTATCTCTCATTGGTAGGTCGCAGCAGGTCATGTTGTCTGTTATCTCTTATTAGTAGATCATGGCAGGTCATGTTGTCTGTTATCTCTTATTAGCAGGTCATGTTGTCTGTTATCTCTCATTAGTAGGTCATGTTGTCTGTTATCTCTCATTAGTAGGTCATGTTGTCTGTTATCTCTTAATAGTAGGTCATGTTGTCTGTTATCTCTCATTAGTAGGTCATGTTGTCTGTTATCTCTTATTAGTAGGTCATGTTGTCTGTTATCTCTTAATAGTAGGTCATGTTGTCTGTTATCTCTCATTAGTAGGTCATGTTGTCTGTTATCTCTTATTAGTAGGTCATGGCAGGTCATGTTGTCTGTTATCTCTTATTAGCAGGTCATGTTGTCTGTTATCTCTCATTAGTAGGTCATGTTGTCTGTTATCTCTTATTAGTAGGTCATGTTGTCTGTTATCTCTCATTAGTAGGTCATGTTGTCTGTTATCTCTTATTAGTAGGTCATATTGTCTGTTATCTCTTATTAGTAGGTCATGTTGTCTGTTATCTCTCATTAGTAGGTCATGTTGTCTGTTATCTCTTATTAGTAGGTCATGTTGTCTGTTATCTCTTATTAGTAGGTCATGTTGTCTGTTATCTCTTATTAGTAGGTCATGTTGTCTGTTATCTCTTATTAGTAGGTCATGTTGTCTGTTATCTCATTAGTAGGTCATGTTGTCTGTTGTCTCTTATTTGTAGGTCATGTTGTCTGTTATCTCTCATTAGAAGGTCATGTTGTCTGTTATCTCTTATTAGTAGGTCATGTTAGGTCATGTTGTCTGTTATCTCTTATTAGCAGGTCATGTTGTCTGTTATCTCTCATTAGTAGGTCATGTTGTCTGTTATCTCTCATTAGTAGGTCATGTTGTCTGTTATCTCTTAATAGTAGGTCATGTTGTCTGTTATCTCTCATTAGTAGGTCATGTTGTCTGTTATCTCTTATTAGTAGGTCATGTTGTCTGTTATCTCTTAATAGTAGGTCATGTTGTCTGTTATCTCTCATTAGTAGGTCATGTTGTCTGTTATCTCTTATTAGTAGGTCATGGCAGGTCATGTTGTCTGTTATCTCTTATTAGCAGGTCATGTTGTCTGTTATCTCTCATTAGTAGGTCATGTTGTCTGTTATCTCTTATTAGTAGGTCATGTTGTCTGTTATCTCTCATTAGTAGGTCATGTTGTCTGTTATCTCTTATTAGTAGGTCATATTGTCTGTTATCTCTTATTAGTAGGTCATGTTGTCTGTTATCTCTCATTAGTAGGTCATGTTGTCTGTTATCTCTTATTAGTAGGTCATGTTGTCTGTTATCTCTTATTAGTAGGTCATGTTGTCTGTTATCTCTCATTAGTAGGTCATGTTGTCTGTTGTCTCTTATTAGTAGGTCATGTTGTCTGTTATCTCTTATTAGTAGGTCATGTTGTCTGTTATCTCTCATTAGTAGGTCATGGCAGGTCATGTTGTCTGTTATCTCTTATTAGTAGGTCATGGCAGGTCATGTTGTCTGTTATCTCTTATTAGTAGGTCATGTTGTCTGTTATCTCTCATTAGTAGGTTATGTTGTCTGTTATCCCTCATTAGTAGGTCATGTCTGTTATCTCTTATTAGTAGGTCATGGTAGGTCATGTTGTCTGTTAGCTCTTATTAGTAGGTCGTATTGTCTGTTATCTCTTAATAGTAGGTCATGGTAGGTCATGTTGTCTGTTATTTCTTATTAGTATATCATGGTAGGTCATGTTGTCTGTTTTCTCTTATTAGTAGATCATGGTTGGTCATTTTGTCTTATCTCTTATTAGTAGGTCATGGCAGGTCTTGTTGTCTCTGTTATCTCTTATTAGTAGGTCATGGCAGGTCATGTTGTCTGTTATCTCTTATTAGTAGGTCATGGCAGGTCTTGTTGTCTGTTATCTCTTATTAGCAGGTCATGGCAGGTCATGTTGTCTGTTAGCTCTTATTAGTAGGTCATGGCAGTAATTTTGTTGTTTGTTATCTCTTATTAGTAGGTCATGGCAGGTCATGTTGTCTGTTATCTCTTATCAGTAGGTCATGGCAGGTCTTGTTGTCTGTTAGCTCTTATTAGTAGGTCATGGCAGGTCTTGTTGTCTGTTATCTCTATTAGTAGTATGTTGTTCGTTAGCTCTTATTAGTAGGTCATGGCAGGTCTTGTTGTCTGTTAGCTCTTATTAGTAGGTCATGGCAGGTCTTGTTGTTCGTTACTCTTATTAGTAGGTCGGCAGGTCTTGTGGTCTGTTATCTCTTATTAGCAGGTCATGCAGGTCTTGTTGTCTGTTATTCTCTATTAGTAGGTCATGGCAGGTCTTGTTGTCTGTTATCTCTTATTAGTAGGTCATGGCAGGTCTTGTTGTCTGTTATCTCTTATTAGTAGGTCATGGCAGGTCATGTTGTCTGTTATCTCTTATTAGTAGGTCATGGCAGGTCATGTTGTCTGTTATCTCTTATTAGTAGGTCATGGCAGGTCTTGTTGTCTGTTATCTCTTATTAGTAGGTCATGGCAGGTCATGTTGTCTCTGTTATCTCTTATTAGTAGGTCATGGCAGGTCTTGTTGTCTGTTATCTCTTATTAATTGGTCATGTTGTCTCTGTTATCTCTTATTATTAGGTCATGGCAGGTGTTGTTGTTCGTTGTTATCTCTTGTTATTCTTATTAATAGGTTCATGTCATGTCTGTTATCTCTATTAATTGGTCAGGCAGGTCTTGTTGTCTGTTATCTCTTCTTATTAATTGGTCATGGCAGGTCTTGTTGTCTGTTATCTCTTATTAGTAGGTCATGGCAGGTCTTGTTGTTTGTTATCTCTTATTAATTGATCATGGCAGGTCTTGTTGTCTGTTATCTCTTATTAATTGGTCATTGCAGGTCTTGTTGTCTGTTATCTCTTACTAATAGGTTCATGGCAGGTCATGTTGTCTGTTATCTCTTATTAATTGGTCATTGCAGGTCATGTTGTCTGTTATCTCTTATTAATTGGTCATTGCAGGTCTTGTTGTCTGTTATCTCTTATTAATAGGTTCATGGCAGGTCTTGTTGTCTGTTATCTCTTATTAATTGGTCATGTTGTCTCTGTTATCTCTTATTATTAGGTCATGGCAGGTGTTGTTGTCTGTTATCTCTTACTAATAGGTTCATGGCAGGTCATGTTCTCTCTGTTATCTCTTATTATTAGGTCATGGCAGGTGTTGTTGTCTTTTATCTCTTACTAATAGGTTCATGGCAGGTCATGTTCTCTCTGTTATCTCTTATTAGTAGGTCATGGCAGGTCTTGTTGTCTGTTATCTCTTATTAATAGGTTCATGGCAGGTCATGTTGTCTCTGTTATCTCTTATTAATAGGTTCATGGCATGTCATGTTGTCTCTGTTATCTCTTATTAGTAGATCATTTTATCTCTTGTTATCTCTTATTAGTAGGTCATATTGTGTCTTTTTATCTTTTATTAGTTGGACATATTGTCTCTTTTATCTCTTCTTAGTATGTCATTTTGTCTCTTTTTATCTCTTATTAGTTGGACATATTGTCTCTTGTTATCTCTTTTTAGTTTGACATATTGTCTCTTTTATGTCTTATTAGTAGGTCATATTGTCTCTCATTTATCTCTTATGATTAAGTTAAGTCCTTCACTATCGCTGACAGTGTGTTTCTCCAGCAGGTCAGGTCAGATCAGGTGAGGTCAAGGTGACGCTTCCGTCCTCTTCTGTAGTAGTGTTCTCTCATAAGTCACGGAGGGTTTACTCTATAGTTTATTCATGAATGTTGGGTCACATTTCTTAATTATTTTTTTTAATTAGTCACTATAAACCTCGCACTTAATCTCCCAGATGAAACTTCTATCTCCTCCTGGTCACTAACCGTGCTACTTAACTCTCACGGTTTCCATAATTATTAAGTCATTCAGAGTTTATTAAGTTTTAGGTGTAATAAATATTTGATCAATAATTTGTATACTACTTTAATGTTGAGATACTGTAGAGATATTTAGAGGAACGTGTCAGGGATCTAGTGATGAATCATTGATTCGTCAGCAAGGACTGGCAGATTGCATGGTAGGTGTCCCTGACACGTCAGCGTCTTGCCCTGCTGGGATACTGACGCCGCCGCTGACAACACCTTCACTTCACAATTCTTTCACTTTGATGAGAGCGGTGGGCGCAGCTCCCCGCAGGGCGGCGCCGTCGTCGTTTGCCGTGTGTCAGTGGCTCCCCTTCTGTGTCTTTCAGACGCTGACCGATGTGTCCGAATGCTTGTCTTTGCAGCCGCTGCCGGGGTCGCAGTACCCGTACAACTACGCGGGCCAGATGGGCTACTGGTACCCTCAGGGCTACCCGCCCCAGGTGCAGGGCCAACAGTTCCTGGGCATGCAAGGTTTCGCCTACGGACAGTATGGCTACCAGCAGGGGTAGGACCTGGCTCTCTTGTTGCATCCTGTCCGGGGTCCCACAAGCCTCACCTGACGCACCTGGACTACCCCACTTGTCCCTGCACGCTCACCTGTGTGTATTGCCCCCAGCAGGTGACACAGGTGACGGTGGTGGTCACCTTCACCCAGGGTCGAGGTGACCACCTGGGTCCACAAGTGACTAGGCCAGGTGTCCCGTCCAGGCTAACATGACTTGCGTAGATAATGAATAGATGACTGTACTTAAACACGGCCGCAACACACACCAGGCAGTTATGTTCCTCAGTCCTGACGGTCACACACACACACATGGTAGCTCCATCACCACAACATGGCCTCATCACTACCCATCAGCACACTCGCAAACACTTATGACCACGTTTTCGATTTCCTTTCCTGCTTTGAGTTGCAATCACACTAGAATTACTGTACCTGTGCAACAACCCCATGACACTTGCAATACCTCCACGCTGCCTGAATAACACAAAACACATTTACCAGTTTCACCCCACACAAAATTTCGTAATTGGTGGAGGAGGTGTGTGTTGCTCGCCCCAGGAAACACTTGTGTTGTCATGTTCGTGTTTTGGTACAATTTTAAGTGTTTTAACTTGTAAGAACTTAGTGGTACGTCTTATTAATAATGTGATGTAACAGGCATGCTGAATCTACCTACTTTATCTACTGATTTGTCTGGTGCCATGACAACCACCCTCGCCTACCAGCATGAATGGTGGTGATGGTAGTGGTGTAAAGTGTGGTAGTAGTGTGTGTTAACTGTGGTAATACATGTATATTGTGTGATAGTGGTTATGGTGTAAAGTGTGGTAGTAGTGTGTGTTAACTGTGGTAATACAGGTATATTGTGTGATAGTGGTTATAGTGTAAAGTGTGGTAGTAGTGTGTGTAAACTGTGGTAATACAGGTATATTGTGTGATAGTGGTTATAGTGTAAAGTGTGGTAGTAGTGTGTGTTAACTGTGGTAATACAGGTATATTGTGTGATAGTGGTTATAGTGTAAAGTGTGGTAGTAGTGTGTGTAAACTGTGGTAATACAGGTATATTGTGTGATAGTGGTTATAGTGTAAAGTGTGGTAGTAGTGTGTGTTAACTGTGGTAATAGTGTGTTAACTGTGGTAATAGTGTGTTAACTACTTAATGACAATGTGTGTTAACTGTGGTAATAGTGTGTTAACTGTGGTATAGTGTGTTAACTGTGGTAATAGTGTGTTAACTGTGGTAATAGTGTGTCAACTGTGGTAATCTAGTGTGTAACTGTGGTAATGTGTTAACTGATGGTAATAGTATTGTGTTAACGTGGTAATAGTGTAACTGTGGTAATACTGTGTATTGGCTGTGGTAATAGTGTGTTAACTGTGGTAATAGTGTGTTAACTGGTAATAGTTAATAACTGTGGTAATAGTGTGTCAACTGTGGTAATACTGTGTGTTAACTGTGGTAATAGTGTGTTAACTGTGGTAATAGTGTGTTAACGTGGTAATAGTGTGTTAACTGTGGTAATAGTGTGTAACTGTGGTAATATGTGTGTTAACTGTGGTAATAGTGTGTGTTAACTGTGGTAATAGTGTGTTAACTGTGGTAATAGTGTGTTAACTGTGGTAATAGTGTGTTAACTGTGGTAATAGTGTGTTAACGTGGTAAATAGTGTTAACTGTGGTAATAGTGTGTTAACTGTGGTAATAGTGTGTCAACTGTGGTAATAGTGTGTTAACTGTGGTAAGGGTGTGTTAACGTGGTATAGTGTGTTAACTGTGGTAATAGTGTGTTAACTGTGGTAATAGTGTGTTAACTGTGGTAATAGTGTGTTAACTGTGTAATAAAGGTTGTAATAGTGTGTGTTACTGTGGTAATAGTGTGTTAACTGTGGTATAGTGTTAACTGTGGTAATAGTGTAAGTAACTGTGGGTAATAGTGTGTTAACTGTAATAGTGTGTTAACTGTGGATAGTGTAAAGTCAATTGTAATAGTGTACGTAAGTAAAAGCAACTGTGGTAATAGTGTGTTAACTGTGGTATAGTGTGTTAACTGTGGTAATAGCAATGGAATGTGTTAACTGTGGTAATAGTGTGTTAACTGTGGTAATAGTGTGTGAACTGTAATAGTGTGTTAACTGTGGTAATAGTGTGTTAACTGTGAATAGTGTGTTGTGGTAATAGTGTGCAACTATGGAATAGTGTGTGTTAACTGTAATAGTGTGTGTGTTAAACTGAGGTAATAGTGTGTGTAAACTGTGGTAATAGTGTGTTAACTGTGGTATAGTGTGTGTCACTGTGGTAATAGTGTGTTAAACTGTGGTAATAGTGTGTAGCAACTGTGGTAATAGTGTGTTAACTGTGGTAATAGTGTGTTAACTGTGGTAAGAGTGTACTGTGGTAATAGTGTGTTAACTGTGGTAATAGTGTGTGTTAATTGTATAGACTGTGGTAATAGTGTGTTAACTGTGGTAATAGTGTGTAACTGTGGTAATAGTGTGTTAACTGTAATAGTGTAACTGTGTAATATGTGTTAACTGTGGTAATAGTGTTAACTGTGGTAATAGTGTTAACTGTGGTAATAGTGTGTGTTAACTGTGGTAATAGTGTGTCAACTGTGGTAATAGTGTGTGTCAACTGTGGTAATAGTGTGTTAACTGTGGTAATAGTGTGCAACTGTGTAATAGTGTGTGTGTTAACTGTAATAGTGTGTTAACTGTGGTAATAGTGTGTTAACTGTGGTAATAGTGTGTTACTAAAAAGCCTGTGGTAATAGTGTGTTAACTGTGTATAGTGTGTTAACTGTGGTAATAGTGTTAACTGTGGTAATAGTGTGTTAACTGTGGTAATAGTGTGTTAACTGTGGTAATAGTGTGTTAACTGTGGTAATAAAATAATTGTAATAGTGTGTGTTGTGGTAATAGTGTGTGTTAACTGTGGTAATAGTGTGTTACATTGTGGTAATACTGTGACAGTAGATGGTGGTTAAGACAGTAGATGTGGTTATGACAGCAGATGGTGACTGTGACAGTAGATGGTGGTTATGACAGTAGATGGTTGCGTGACAGTAGATGGTGGTTGACAGTGGTATGTGGTGGTGACAGCAGATGGTGGTAATGACAGTAGATGGTGGCGGTAAGATGTGGCTATGACAGTAGATGGTGGTTGCGACAGTAGATGGTGGTTATGACAGACGGTGATATAGACGGTGGTTAGACAGTAGATGCAGACTGTGACAGCAGATGGTGGTTATGACAGCTGATGCAGACTGTGACAGTAGATGGTGACTGTGGACAATAGATGATGGTTATGACAGTAGATGCAGGTTATGACAGTAGATGGAGGTGACAGTAGATGGTGACTGTGACAATAGATGTGTTATGGCAGTAGATGGTGACTGTGACAGTAGATGGTGGTTATGACAGTAGATGCAGACTGTGACAATAGATGGTACTGTGAAGTGAGATGGTATGATGACAGAGATGGTGGTTGATGACAGTAGATGGTGGTTAAGACAGTAGATGGTGTGTGATCAGACACAGATGGTGACTGTGACAGTAGATGGTGACTGTACAGGATGATGGTTGGTGACAGTAGATGGTGACTGTGACACAGATGGTGGTTATGACAGTAGATGATGGTTAATGACAGTAGATGGTATGGTGACAGTAGATGGTGGTTCAGACAGATGGTGACTGTGACAATAGATGGTGGTTATGACAGTAGATGATGGTTACATAGATGGTGACCTGGAAGTAGATGGTGGTTATGACAGTAGATGGTGACTGTGACAGTAGATGGTGGTTATGACAGTAGATGATGGTTATGACAGTAGATGGTGGTTATGACAGTAGATGGCGGTGACAGTAGATGGTGATGACAATAGAGAGGTTGCAGTAGATGGTGACTGTGACAGTAGATGGTTAGACAGTAGATGTGACTTAACAGATGGTGACTGTGACAATAGATGGTGGTTATGACAGTAGATGGTGGTTATGACAGTAGATGGTGGTTGGTGACAGTAGATGGTGATGAGACAATAGATGGTGACTGTGACAGTAGATGCTGACTGTGACAGTAGATGATGGTTATGACAGTAGATGGTGACTGTGACAATAGATGGTGGTTATGACAGTAGATGATGGTTATGACAGAGATGGTGTGAGTAGATGGTGGTTATGACAGTAGATGGTGACTGTGACAATAGATGGTTATGGTAGATGATGGTTATGACAGTAGATGGTGACAGACAGAGATGGTGACTGTGACAGTAGATGGTGACTGTGACAGTAGATGGTTATGACAGTAGATGGTGACTGACAATAGATGGTGGTTATGACAGTAGATGATGGTTATGACAGATGATGGTTATGACAGAGATGGTGATGGACAGTAGATGGTGGTTATGACAGTAGAGACTTGACAATAGATGGTGGTTATGACAGTAGATGGTGACTGTGACAAAGATGGTGATTATGACAGTAGATGATGAGGTGACAGTAGATGATGGTTGTGACAGTAGATGATGGTTATGACAGTAGATGGTGACTGTGACAGTAGATGGTGGTTATGACAGGATGGACTGTGACAGTAGATGATGGTTATGACAGTAGATGGGACTGTGACAATAGGGTGGCTGGTGACAGTAGATGATGGTTATGACAGTAGATGATGGTTATGACAGTAGATGGTGGTTATGACAGTAGATGGAGACTGTGACAATAGATGGTGAGTTATGACAGTAGATGATGGTTATGCAGAGAGGTGTTATGACAGTAGATGGGTTATGACAGTAGAGATGGGGACAATAGATGGTGGACTGTGACAGTAGATGGTGACTGTGACAATAGATGGTGACTGTGATAAGAGATGGTGACTGTGACAATAGATGGTGGTTATGACAGTAGATGGTGACTGTGACAATAGATGGTGACTGTGACATAGATGGTGGTTATGACAGTAGATGATGGTTATGACAGTAGATGGGTTAGACAGTAGATGGTGGC